TTGGTTAAACCGAGTTGACGGTAAAATTACCATTGTTATTTTCTTCACTTTTTGCATAGTTCAGTAACGTCCACATTTGGTTCTTTAATTTCTCACTGACGACTATGTGTTCTCTTTCCTGATGCATTCTTACTTTACCGTAAAGCTTCATTAAATTGTGCATTTGGAAGTTTATATAGACGCCGCATTTGTACATAAAAATTTGCGCTGTTTAATTAGCAGAACTTAAAAAAAACTCATCGTGCAATACTACTTTGGATCAAAAACAAATGCCGTCTAAATGTTTCAATATTAATCTAGAAGATAAACGCTGTTGGTGGTGCAGTTGAATTTTTAGTTCACAGTTCTAAATTACTAAGGTTTTTCAGCACTTGGCTTAAAGTAATCGTAATTATATATGGTCTACAGACAGAAATGGCTTCTTGGTGGTTATTATCGACTATTTTCTTCATTCTATCAGTAGCGTTTGTAAAAAGCTTCAATGATTTATGTCGTCATTCGTCAATACTCAGAAGGTTTATTTTATTTTGCTTAATTTTTCAATTTTTTTCGTCACAAGCGACAGTAATTGAGAAAATAAGTGAAAGGTGGATTAGAGGCTGTCGCTGGCAATAAATGTATGTGACACTAGGTGGTTTCAGAGTGAATGAAATCAGATTGAAGGCTTTGGACGTTGTTTGGTCTGACTGAGGGTGAAAGTGGTTCGCTAATTTGTAGCAGGTAACTACAGTGCTTTGATAAGAATTTTAATAGAATTCTTGAGATGTTCTTCAACAAAAATTTTAGCGGTACTGCTGTAAAAGCATTTTTGTTTAGCGATAGGGAAGTTAATGTACAGTAAAAAGAAATTGTACAAAAGAAATGAGTATAATTTGGCAGAATTAATGGCTCTAGATACATTCAGAGTTTTGTAGTTACAGAAGAAAGTGAGTAAAGAAAAGACATTTACTCAGCAGCAGTTTTTATAATGATACATCAATCTTCAGTTTTCTTTCTTCTAATGGTCAATCAAAAGCATTGCCAAGTTTTTGACGCTGACACTCTAAATTATAGTTTGCCGTTTTTACCAGCATCGATTTCGTTTATTACCCTCGATAAACCAGCACATTTTTGTTCTGCATTCAACCTCACATTGGCCCCTGCATTCCTTTTTTTTTTTTTTTTTTT